GTCATGGACTAAACCTGTGAAACCATGAGCCCAAATACATTTTTGCTCATCTAACTTGTTCTTGTTAGGTATTTGGTCACAGCAATGAAAAGCTGACTAACACAATCTTATTGGATTCTTATAATATCCTTTGAAGGAGATGCTATTACAGATGCATAATAACCCGAATTTCAGGAAAACAAATAATGTTCATAGTGTAATGTTTGGATGTGGGAGCTAAGATTCAAACCTAGGCATTGCTGGGCCACTTGGACAACACCAGTTCTGTAGCAGAGTTCAATAAATGTTCCTTTCCCTTTCAGCAAATAACAAATTTTGATAAAGATGTGGAGAAAGTGAAATGATTGTGTTCTGTTGGTGGAACTGGAAAATGGTGCAGCCATTGTGGAATGGAGTACAGCAGCTACTCAAAAAATTAAAAATACAATTACCATATGATTGAACAATTCCACTCGGTTTTAAAAACCCTAGATAATTGAAAGTGGAATCTTGGAGAGATTTTTGTACACCCATATTTATAGCTACATTAGCCAAAAGATAGAAACAATGCAAGTATCCATTGACAGACAGATGAGTGGATAAATAGAATGTGGCCTATTGTAGTCCTTCTTATCCATGGTTTTACTTCCTTCAGTTTCAGTTATCCATGGTCAACCATGGTCCAAAAATATTAAATGGAAAATTCCAGAAAAATATCTTATAAGTATAAATCATGTACTATTCTGAGAATCATGATGAAATGTCATGCCATCTGGCTCTGTCCTGACTAGGATCAGAATTGTTTCTCTGTCTAGCACATCTGCATTGAGGATACTATATACCCACTGGGCCTACGTAGCTGTCTCAGTTATCAGGTCAGCTGTTATGGAATTGCAGGGCTTGTGTTCAGGTAACCCTTGTTTCCCTTAACAATGGCTCCAAAGTGCTAGAGTAGTTATGCTTGCTAACAATTCAGATACCAAAGAGATGCCATAGAATTCTTCCTTTAAATGAAAAGGTGAAAGTTCTCAACTTAAGGGGAAAATAAGTATGCCAAAATTTCTAAGATTTGAATAAGAAATATCTTTTTTCTGGGAATTGTTGAAGAAGGAAAAATAAATTCATGTTAGACTTGCTGTTGCACTTCAGACTGCAAATGTTCCAGCCAGAATGTGTGATAAGAGCTTTGGTAAGATGGAAAAGGTATTGAATTTGTGGGCAAAAGACAGAACAGAAAATGCATTCTGATTGATGATGTGTTATACAAAAAGGGCTAAACCTATATGAAGACTTCAGCAAAGGACCTTCTGAAACAAGTGACACTAAGTCATTTACTGCAAGTAAGAGATGGTTACCCAGATTTTAATTCATAAATTAACTTAATCATAGAAAGATATGTATAGAAAAAATATCACATAGGATTTGGTACCATCCATGATTTCAGGCATTCATTACAGTCTTGAAACGTATCCTTGAAAGATAAGGGTGTCCACTGTATATTCATTTACCAATGTGGAATTTATTCAGTCTTGAAAAAGAAGGAAATTGTGATACTTGCTAAGACATGGATGGATCTTGAAGATATTATGTGAAGTGAAGTAAACTAGTTCCAAAGAAACAAGACTATAGGATTCCACTTATATGGGGTATTTAGAGTAGCAAAATTCATAGAGACGGAAAGTAAAATGGTGATTGCCAGATGCTGGAAAAGTATAGAGGAATGGGGAGCTGTTGTTTAATGGGTGTAGAGGTTCAGTTTTGCAAGATAAAAAGAGTTCTGGAAATCCATGGTGAATGTTCTTTAATGCCACGGAACTGGACATTTTAAAATGGTTACAATTTTAAGTTTTATGTTATATGTGTTTTACCACTGTCAAAAAACCAAAGTCCAACAAGTTGAGTTTGATGATCTAATTATTTTTTTAAAATATTTTGTTTTAGTTGTAGATGGACAGCATGCCTTTATTTAATTAATTTATTTATATATGCTGCTGAGGATTGAACCCAGTGCTTCACCTGTGATGGACAAGCACTCCACCACTGAGCTACAACCCCAGTTGGATCTAATTAGTTTTTATCAGCAATTTGTGAACTGGGCAGCATGCCATTCATGTAATAGAACAGTGGTCTAATGAACAGGGCAGAGGAAGTTGGCTTTATAGGAAGAGAAAGTCCAAAGAAGTAGAAGCAAAGAATAAAAACTTGATTGGCTATTTCAAGGTTACTTTTTTGTTCTGGTTAAAGCAGAAGGGACTACCTTATCATGCCACTTCAGGTTGACTTGGCCCTTTTGGATTGGTTGTTATAAATCTCCTATTGTTAGGGAAAACTGATTTTTAAATTTAATTTATTCTAATTTGTTATATATGGCAGCAGAATGCATTACAATTCATATTGCACAAATTGAGCAAAATTTTTCATGTCTCTGGTTGTATAAAAGGTAGAGTCATACCATCTGTGTTTTCATACATGTACTTAGAGCAATGATGTGCATCTCATTCCACGGTCTTTCCTACCCCCATTCCCCCTCCCTTCACCTCCCTCCCCTTTGCTCTATCTAAAGTTTGTCTGTTCCTCCCATGCTTGCCTCTCCATCCCTATTAGGAATCAGCCTCCTTATATCAAAGAAGACATTCGGCGTTTGGGTTTTTGGGATTAACTTACTTCACGCAGCATTATATTCTCTAACTCTATCCATTTACCTTCAAATGCCATGATTTTATTCTCTTTTAATGCTGAATAAT